AGAAGGATCCCACAAAACAGACGTAAGTCTAGTAGGGACCCCACAAAACAGACCTAGTCTATGAGGTCCCTAAATCAGACGTAGTTTCATAGAAGGATCCAAAAGACCGAAGTTTATAGAGGACCCACAAAAAACTGTAACGTTTTGAAGAGACCTCACAAAAAGACAATACATTTATAGAGGACACACAAAGGAAAACGTTTATAGGGTCCCCACAACAGCCGTAATCTTATAGAAGTGACTCCCAAAAGGACGTACGGTCTTATGAAGGACCCACAATAGACCACAGATCTTATAGCAGGACCCCACAAAAAGACGCACGTCTCATGGCAGGGACCCCACTAACAGACCACACGTCTATGCAGGGCCGCACAAAACAGACCACACGTCTTATGACAGGGACCCCACAAAACAGACCACGTCTTATGGCAGGGACCCCGCAAAACAGACCACTGTCTTATAGGCAGGACCCCACAAAACAGACCACACGTCTTATGATGGACCCCACAAAACAGACCAAGTCTTATGACAGGACCCCACAAAACAGACCACACGTCTTATGACAGGACCCCACAAAACAGACCACGTCTTATGGCAGGACCCCACAAAACAGAACACGTTTTATGGCAGGACTCCACAAAACAGACCACAAGTCTTATGACAGGACCTCACAAAATAGACCACAGGTCTTATAGAGGGACCCCCAAAACAGACAATACGTCTTAAAGAGGGACCCACAAAACAGACCACACGTCTTATGACAGGACCCCACAAAATAGACCACAGGTCTTATAGAAGGACCCCACAAAACAGACTGCATGTCTTATAGAAGGACCCCACAAAACAGACCGTATGTCTTATAGAAGGACCCACAAAACAGACTGCACGTCTTATGGCAGGACCCCACAAACCAGACCTCACGTCTTATAGAAGGACCCCACAAAACAGACCGCACGTCTCATGGCAGGACCGCACAAAACAGACCACACGTCTTATGAAAGGACCCCACAAAACAGACCACACTTCTTATGGCAGGACCCCACAAAACAGACCACACGTCTTATGACAGGACCCCACAAAACAGACCACGTCTTATGGCAGGACCCCACAAAACAGAACACGTCTTATGGCAGGACTCCACAAAACAGACCACAAGTCTCATGGCAGGACCGCACAACACAGACCTCGTCTTATGACAGGACCCCACAAAACAGACCGCACATCTTATGGCATAACGAAAAAAATTCTCCCTTACCAAGAATATTTTCAGAAGGGTCCGGGAAGAAACAAAGTGAGATTTTGGGTTTTGACAAGGGAGAGAGTTTTGGTTTTCAACCCATGGCTCGTACAAGTCCAATTTCCTGACATGCTGTTTAATTTATGTCCTTTTTATGTACATGATTTAGACTTTGCCTGTTTGCTCCTCTGATGCAACATAACAGAGATGAAAGCAAGTGGAGTTGAGAAATAAAACATGCTCTCTTGTAAAAAGAGACAGCAGACAGTAGAAAAGTCGTACGACCGTGTGGGAGTACCACAGGCCCGTTAGAGACAGCAATAGTGTTAGGCATTTTAGTGACAGTTAAATTCACTGGCCACTGTAGGTTAAGAATGCTCTTTTGTGTTTTGACAGCGTATGGCAGGTTTCTACATAGGATTTCGGTTGGAAAATGCAGCATATTCAGGTCTGAAATGACAGCGTTGATATTCAAAAACAGCATCTTAGTTAGAGCTTACTTCAACTCATTGATATACTGTATCACTCCATATACTGTATCACTCCATATACTGTATCACTCCATATACTGTATCACTCCATATACTGTATCACTCCATATACTATATCACTCCATATACTGTATCACTCCATATACTGTATCACTGCATATACTGTATCACTCCATATACTGTATCACTCCCATTATAACTGTATCACTCTCCATATACTTGTATCACTACATATACTGTATCACTGCCATATACTGTATCACTCCATTATACTATATCACTCCATATACTATACTGTATCACTCCATATAACGTATCACTCCCATATACTGTATCACTCCATATCCTATAGCACTCCATATACTGTATACCTCCCATATACTATATCACTCCATATACTGTATCACTCCATCATACTGTATCACTCCATATACTGTATCACTCCATATAATGTATCACTCCATATACTGTATCACTCCATATACTATATCACTCCATATACTGTATCACTCCATATACTGTATCACTCCATATACTATATCACTCCATATACTGTATCACTCCATATAATGTATCACTCCATATACTGTATCACTCCATATACTATATCACTCCATATACTGTATCACTCCATATAATGTATCACTGCATATACTGTATCACTCCATATACTGTATCACTCCATATACTGTATCACTCCATATACTATATCACTCCATATACTGTATCACTCCATATAATGTATCACTCCATATACTGTATCACTCCATATACTATATCACTGCATATACTGTATCACTGCTGTTTGTTCTTGACGTTTTACATCGACATTCTCTGATCCGAAATCCAATCTGTTGATTTACTACATTACTGTAAATTATAAACACGGATGCATTTCTTAACTGTGAAAGTATTCATTTTAGACTGTGAAGACTGAACCGGGACACCTGTTAAAGAACAATGGTGTTGACATAGAGGTCACTGACGACGCTGCTGTTCCTGGCATCCTCTGTAGCTCAGCTGGTAGAGCACGGCGCTTGTAACGCCAGGGTAGTGGGTTCGATCCCCGGGACCACCCATACGTAAAAATTTATGCACGCATGACTGTAAGTCGCTTTGGATAAAAGCGTCTGCTAAATGGCATATTATATATTATATATTATACAGGAGGATGATATCCCAGCTGGTATGTACCATATGTCTACATGTGGTATGTCTAATATGTTGTGCATGCAGGTTATCCTTGCATTTCAAATTAGGAATGACATGTTTGAAGCTAAATATGGAAGGGTTTGACATTGTACCATGATCATATCTTGTTTGTGTGTGTGTGTGTGTGTGTGTGTGTGTGTGTGTGTGTCTGTGTGTGCCCTCTGTGACCTCCCCCTCCCCCCAGGCTGCAGCACGGCAGTGAATGACCTGGTCTACATCACAGATCGCTCCTGGTGCGTGGGCCACAGCGACTTCCAAAAGGCCAAAGAACTGGCTCGTCAACATCACCAGCGGCTTCGACGTCAGTTCCCACTACTCCCAGGTCAGACATACAGTATAGCCGATTTATACAACGGGTGGGTCTAATCCTGAATGCTGATTGGTTAAAACCGCATTCCAGCCGGTGTCTATTCCATAAGTTACCACCTGCTAAATCTATGACGCTAAAATGCCTATTTACTCTGTTCCATCTGACTGCGCAATCCACTGTCTCATCAGCCCAGCCAGGCAATTTATAGACTAGATCTACACTGTAAAAAGCATCTAGCCATTATCTCACATTTCTTTTAGACTAACATTTAGTTTTGTATAAACCTTGCTGTCAGTCTCTCCGACATTTGCAACATTGTTTCAATATTCAAATTAGATCTACAGCTGTCCCATAGTAATGAACGTGTCGGGAGTCGGGACGAGACAGGCAGGCAGGCAGGCAGGCAGGCAGGCAGGCAGGCAGGCAGCGTTTCTCAGCCAGTTGAAATCATGAATCAGCTGGCATCATTTTTATGGATATATACAAAGAAATGTCAATGGAAAAAAAAGGTATAATGAAACGAAGTGCAGCTAGTTTGCATCTTTCCAGCTTCAGTTTGAAGTGATTGTGTTAGCTGTGCCAGGCGAAATCGCGCCTCATTAGCTCATTGTTATGGATGTAAAACAGCTTAAACAAATGCAAATGCATCTACTTTGCTATTATTCTGGCTGCACTTTTTTGACGTGACTGTAAGTTAGCCGTAGTTGGCTAGCTAGCAAGCAAGGGATAAGAACGTTGCCAGCCAGTATGGCAATGGAACATTTAGAACGAACAACTGGGTCGCGTCCATAGATACAGAACAAAAAGACTGAATGACTTTTTGACTCTAGCAACCCAACGGATAGAACAAACGACCAGCTGGCTTGGGTAGCAACCCTAGATTTGTGTCGGGACTATATCTTGTGGAAGGATGAAATAATATAAATAAATTAATCGAAATAAAGTTTTTAATGAAATTATGTCAATAATTATTTGAATATGTTGGTAACCCGTTGTATAAAGGTGACAATGTCCTTGAAGCCGGTGTTGGGAGGATATATTGGCACGGTTTGCCTACCCTCGACTTCGTCTCGGGCCTAACAACACCTGTACCAACATATCCTCCAAACACCGGCTTCGAGGGCATTATCACTTAAATATCACCGCAAGTGACATACTGCATAACTAGTATATCAGCAGCGGTTGTAGGGATATTTTCATAGTCATTTTGAGAACAGGCTAACTAATAAATCCGTTTTGATTTACGCTAACTTCGTCATCAGTCATCACTCAATACGGTGGTGACATGTAACTGCAATGGTTAAATGTAACTTCTTTTACATTGTAATGAGAACATGTTGAACCAGGTGGCAGTGGAGCAGCGCAGCAACACCCCTTACCTGGAGGTATCCCTGGGGAAGCACCGGGGTGGTCCGGACCTCATCCAGGCCATCGAGGGATTCAGCTATCTAGGCGGGAACACCCAGACGGGCCAAGCGATCAAGTTCGCCGTGGATCACGTGTTCCCATCCTCGCAGCGTGCCAGTGCCGTCAAGATCCGCATCGCGGTGGTCGTGACAGATGCGAAGTCCCAGGACGATGTGATGGATGCCAGCGTGGAGGCGCGGGCGCAAGGGCGTCATCGTGTTCGCCGTGGGCGTGGGCAGCGGGATCACCACCTCGGAGCTGGTGTCCATCGCCAACAAGCCGGCGAGTACCTACGTTCTGTACGCCGACGACTACGCTAACATAGGCCGCATCCGAGTCTCTATGGAGCAGAGGTTGTGTGAGGGTGAGTTAATGTAGAGGCGGGGTGAGGGTGAGTTAGTGTAGAGACTGGGTGTGTTAGTGTAGAGGCTGGGTGAGGGTGAGTTAGTGTAGAGGCTGGGTGAGGGTGAGTTAGTGTAGAGGCTGGGTGAGTTAGTATAGAGGCTGGGTGAGGGTGAGTTAGTGTAGAGGCTGGGTGAGTTAGTGTAAAGGCTGGGTGAGTTAGTGTAGAGGCTGGGTGAGTTAGTGTAGAGGCTGGGTGAGGGTGAGTTAGTGTAGAGACTGGGTGTGTTAGTGTAGTGCAGTCCTTCTCAAATAGTGGGGCGCGCCCCCCATGGGGGAGCTCGGAGCGATGCCAGCGGGGGGCGCGTGTGACCCCGGGGAACATGCTTTTTTTTGGCCGCAGGGAGTAGGGTTATTTTGCACGGAACAAGAGCACACAGCACAGAGCAGGAGATATGAAGTGCAGATAACAAACCCTTAAGAGACACCATGGAAACATATTCAACAGGGATGAAAAGAAAGGCGGAGAGAGACGGAGATAATGAGACAAAGTCTCCCGAAAGCTAAGACAAGGAAATATGACGAAGCGTATGTAGCGCTTGGCTTCACTTCGACTACGGTGGGAGACGAGGAAAGACCGGTATGTTTACTGTGTCTAAAAATGTTGGCAGCGGACAGCATGAAGCCAAATAAATTAAGGCGTCACTTAAAGACATTACACCCCAATCACGCTGATACACCCCAATCACCAGACCACTAAAAACAAGAGTATTCTCTGCTATCTGTGAGGAGATGGGAGCTGAACATCAAGCTGTGCTGTTTCACAGTGAAGCAAGGTGGCTGTCACGAGGAAAAGTCTTGTCCCGAGTTTTTGAGCTCAGAGAGCAGATAAGAATGTTTTCGGAGCAGGAGCACAAGTATGACCTCGCAGAAAAATGTTGTGATGAGAACTTCCTGGCAAAACTGGCCTACCTGAGTGACATATTTGGAAAGCTAAATGAACTAAATCTACAGCTTCAAGGGAAAGATAAACACCTCCCTCAGGTCACAGACAAGATCAGCTCTTTCACTCGAACGCTTGCAATGTGGGGCAGGCGACTTGATGAAGGAAATACTGATTCATTCGAGAACCTGCATGAATTTGTTGACACTACTGACTATGATGCCACCTCAGTGATTCCATATATTAAGGAGCATATTTCATCACTGATGGGATTCTTTAAAAAGTACTCCAACCATTAATCCTGACTTCCTAATTTTTATTAAAAAAATCAGCACAAATTGTTTTATTCATTTTTGTTTTATAGGTCAAAGTGTTTCATATATTGTGCTCCTGAGTTCATGTTGCTGATCAATTTGAATGTATTATTATTTATTGATTATATTTAATTTTGTTTTTCAGTATCAAATGGTCCAAAAAATTTTACAGTTTAAATAAGGTTTGAATTTTTTCTTTCATTTCAGGCAAATTGATGAACTTTAAGTATTTTCTGTTACAGACTAAAAACAATGTTAATAAAGTTATTCTTTGTTGTAAGTTGATCTATATTACTTTTTTTTCTTTTTTTTTTTCTTTAATGTTAATAAGGATAGAATGTTAGGCAGAGGTGTACTTATAACAATTTTATAGACAAATGATACTATTTACAGTCGCGGCGGAGAGTTGGGGGGCGCGAAATGTTTACTTCTTCCTAGGGGGGGGGCGTAACAGAAAATAATTGAGAAGCACTGGTGTAGTGGCTGGGGTAGTTAGTGTAGAGGCTGGGTGAGTTAGTGTAGAGGCTGGGTGAGTTAGTGTAGAGGATGGGTGAGTTAGTGTAGAGGCTGGGTGAGGGTGAGTTAGTGTAGAGGCTGGGTGAGTTAGTGTAGAGGATGGGTGAGTTAGTGTAGAGGCTGGGTGAGGGTGAGTTAGTGTAGAGACTGGGTGAGTTAGTGTAGAGGATGGGTGAGTTAGTGTAGAGGATGGGTGAGGGTGAGTTAGTGTAGAGGCTGGGGGAGTTAGTGTAGAGGCTGGGTGAGTTAGTGTAGAGGATGGGTGAGTTAGTGTAGAGGCTGGGTGAGTTAGTGTAGAGGCTGGGTGAGTTAGTGTAGAGGCTGGGTGAGGGTGAGTTAGTGTAGAGGCTGGGTGAGGGTGAGTTAGTGTAGAGGCTGGGGGAGTTAGTGTAGAGGCTGGGTGAGTTAGTGTAGAGGATGGGTGAGTTAGTGTAGAGGCTGGGAGAGGGTGAGTTAGTGTAGAGGCTGGGTGAGTTAGTGTAGAGGATGGGTGAGTTAGTGTAGAGGCTGGGAGAGGGTGAGTTAGTGTAGAGGCTGGGTGAGTTAGTGTAAAGGATGGGTGAGTTAGTTTAGAGGCTGGGTGAGGGTGAGTTATTGTAGAGGCTGGGTGAGTTAGTGTAGAGGCGAGGTGAGGGTGAGTTAGTGTAGAGGCTGGGTGAGTTAGTGTAGAGACTGGGGGAGTTAGTGTAGAGACTGGGTGTGATGGGTATGATGGGTATGTGGATGTGATGGTATGGTGGGGATGATGGGTATGATGGCTATATGGGTATATGGGTATGATGGGTATAATTTGTATATGGGTATGATGGGTATGATGGATATATGAGTATAATGGGTATGATAGGTATGATGGGAATATGGTTATATGGATATGATGGGATGGGTATATGGGTATGATGGGTATGATGGGAATATGGGTATGATGGGTGTATGGATATGATGGGTATATGGGTATATGGGTATATGAGTTTGATGGGTATAATGGGTATATGGTAGGTTGGGTATGATGGGTATAATGGGTATATGGCATGATGGTATGATGGTATGATGGGTATGTGGGTATGAAGGGTTTTTGGGTATATGGGTATGATGGGTATATGGGTATGATGGGTATATGGGTGTATGGGTATGATGGGTATGATGGTATATGGTATGATGGGATGGGTATATGTGTATGATGGGTGTGATGGGTATGATGTGTATGATGGGTATGAGGTTATGATGGGTATGATGGGAATGATGGGTATGATGGCTATATGGGTATGATGGGTATGATGGCTATATGGGTATATGGGTATGATGGTATATGGTATGATGGGTATGTGGGTTATGGGTATGTGGTATGATGGGATATGGTTATGGTTATTGAATGTAGTATTGATATGATGGGTATATGGGTATGATGGGTATGATTCGTGTGATGGGTATGATGGGTATATGGGCATGATGGGTATATGGGTGTATGGGTATGATGGGTATGATGGTATATGGGTATGATGGGTATATGGGTGTATGGGTATGATGGGTATGATGGTATATGGTATGATGGGTATATGGGTATTATGTGTATGACGGGTTTGTTGGGTATATGGGTATATGTGTATGATGGGTGTGATGGGTATGATGGGTATATGGTATGATGGGTATATGGGTATTCGGGTATGATCAGTATATGGGTATGATGAGAATATGGGTATGATGGGTATGAAAGTAGTATTGATATGATGGGTATATGGGTATGATGGGTATTGGTATGATGGGTATGATGGGTATATGGGTGTATGGGTATGATGGGTATGATGGTATATGGTATGATGGGATGGGTATATGGGTATAATGGGTGTGATGGGTATGATGTGTATGATGGGTATGTGGATATGATGGGTATATGGGTATATTGGTTTACGGATATGATGGGTATGTGGCTATGATGGGTATGGTGGGAATGATGGGTATGATGGCTATATGGGTATGATGGGTATGACTGGTATATGGGTATGACGTGTATGATGGGTATGATGGCTATATGGGTATATGGGTATGATGGGTATAATTCGTATATGGGTATGATGGGTATGATGGATATATGAGTATAATGGCCCTCTCTTGGCAGGTTTCTTGTGGTGCGATATTCTTTCAATTTTTTAATAATGGATTTAATGGTGCTCCGTGGGATGTTCAAAGTTTCATATTTTTTTCTAACCCAACCCTGATCTGTACTTCTCCACAACTTTGTCCCTGACCTGTTTGGAGAGCTCCTTGGTCTTCATGGTGCTGCTTGCTTGGTGGTGCCCCTTGCTTAGTGGTGTTGCAGACTCTGGGGCCTTTCAGAACATGTCTATACAGTGAGGGAAAAAAGTATTTGATCCCCTGCTGATTTTGTACATTTGCCCACTGACATAGAAATTATCAGTCTATAATTTTAGTGGTAGGTTTATTTGAACAGTGAGAAACAGAATAACAACAAAAAAAATCCAGAAAAACGCATGTCAAATATGTTATAAATTGATTTGCATTTTAATGACCAAGTAATAAGTCATGTTTTGCAGAGGGGTCAAATACTTATTTCCCTCATTAAAATGCAAATCAATCTCTCACTGTTCAAATAAACCTACCATTAAAATTATAGACTGATCATTCCTTTGTCAGTGGGCAAATGTACAAAATCAGCAGGGAATCAAATACTTTTTTCCCTCACTGTATAAACTGAGATCATGTGACAGATCATGTGACACTTAGAATGCACACAGGTGGACTTTATTTAACTAATTATGTGACTTCTGAAGGTAATTATTTGCACCAGATCTTATTTAGGGGCTTCATAGGAAAGGGTGTGAATACATATGCACGCACCACTTTTCCGTTATTCATTAGTTCGAATTTCTTTAAATAAGTACTTTTTTTCATTTCACTTTACCAATTTTAACTATTTTGTGTATGTCCATTACATGAAATACAAATACAAATCCATTTAAAGTACAGGTTGTAATGCAACAAAATAGGATAAACGCCAAGGGGGACGAATACAAGGCACTGTATATTGTGTATTGTTCAAAACATTGCTCTTTCTCTCTCTCGACAGATTTCTGACCACTTTAGTTTGTAGTGTGTGTTTCTGTGAAGACGTGTGCCTTTTTGTGACTATTGTACGTTTGGATATGTTTTGGGCCACTTGGATAGGTTGCCTGGACCGCTCCGACTTGGGCCACTTGGATAGGTTGCCTGGACCGCTCTGACTTGGGCCACTTGGATAGGTTGCCTGGACCGCTCTGTCAACACTCACAAAAGCCTTTGTAAAGTTTTTATTTTTATTTTCTATCAGCTGTTGTTGACATGCAACTGGAGGGATGTGAAGTGTCAAAAGCTCTATTCACCAAGAAGTGCCTTCTTTTTCATGTGATGTGAAACATTACTTTGAAAGTGAAAAAAAAAAAAAAAGGTTATTTTTTCTGCTTGTGTAATTCCTAGCTATGATCTGATCATTTCTATACAAACCACAAGGATGATACCATCCATATGCATGTGCTGCAAATAATTCCTTAGTTATAAGCTTTTTAGTTTGGGTGTGACATTTTAGGCAGAAATTCACATTTTTGCCTGTCAGCTGAAGAGGCTCTAGCTAACAAAACTACTAACATTAGCTAGCTAGGTTGATGCAATCATGCAGCCAGCAGCTAACATTAATCATTTAAAATGCGTTTGGCTAAAGGATAAAGAAGATGAAACAATCTGCTGCTGCTAAAGTTCCTGAAAAGCCAGTTTGTTAGTCTAGTAATGTTGGCATATTACTTTATTTTATTTCACAAATATGGGTACCGCAAATTTAATTGTCTTATAAGCAAGAAAACTACAAATTCTGCCACAGAGCAGTATACACAGACAATATGAACACATTTGTCCAACCATAACAGATGGATGGTTAATGCAGAAAGATATATTTTATGGATTCTAGCACCACCACAAGTTTCACAAGTACAGAGACAGGCAGCCATGATTGCGTCATCCTTTTTCGAATAGCTAGTGCATAGTGACACCTACTGATATGAACTCATAATGCAGGTTTGGTTAGAATAGAGTGCAATAGAATTAATGACGTTCAATAAAATTTACTTCATGAAAAGGGGGATATTATTTTCAATGAAAATGTTGTAAGTAGTTGATTTAATGATTGCATATATGGATTCTACAGGCAATCAGTTCCTACAGTGAGCGCCAGGGAACCAACCTCGGGGGCCAGATGGAGACCAAGACAACAACACATGGTTACTGGTTTTAAGAATTACACACACAAAAAAAAAAAACATTGTTACAAAGTCTACTGTCTATAGTGTTAAATGTAACCCTGCCTTGTTACAAAGTCTACTGTCTATAGTGTTAAATGTAACCCTGCATTGTTACAGTCTACTGTCTATAGTGTTAAATGTAACCCTACCTTACATAAAGCTTACAGAATGAATAATTGCAGAAGATCACTGTAAATCAGATGAACAAATAAAAGGTTTTATGATATATAATTTAAATGCTTTTCTACATTGAAAACTTGTTTTTCAAAATACACTGCTTAGCATTGTGTGTGTATAGAGTGAAATTCATACTTAAAGACATTGTAATCATTGTTTGCTTAACGCTCAGCTCTGCAATAATAGTTCACTAAACTACAGAGTATGTTTTCCATTGAAGTTGTTCTCTCTGGCTCTTTTGATATCAGATTCAGAACGAATAATAACAAGGTTAGTGGTAGTTTGAAAGGGTTTGATCCACCTTAGGCTATGAGTACACAGATGAAAAGGGAAGCTATCTATCTATAATAATATTTTGTCAGCCTACGAATAGGACCCAGAGTTTTACCCGACCAGGTCATGAGATCAGGAAAAACTCCAGGCCCCATAAAGGACACGTATGAATTTTGCCACACCACTTTTGAACCTCTGGCGTATCATTTTTGGCTTTGGTTAAATGTTCTTATTGTCTCTTCTGTGCAAAGCCCAATAGAGATGTTATTTTGGGACTGACAGATTTTCATGCATAATTATACCCTCACAGCCCCCCTGCAGTATTATAGTTCTATATTGATCCATCATTTAGTGTCTCCCACTGACTCCAGAAGAATCTGTCAAGCCCAGACTTCCTCGTACACAGTCAGACCCGAGTTGCCACTTCTTGTCAAGGCTGAAGTTTAATGAAGCAGTTATTTCATAAGGGGATTTTATGGACTTGAGCGGTAATGACTAATGTTTAATGACATTTACATTGTGTGCTGCACTACTTGAGGAATCTGTCACGGTAGCTAAGCAGGAACATGTTAAATCCCATCAATTCATTTCCATTTCGTACAGTGATGGGTGATGGTTTTCCCCATCCCTATTTGATTGATTAAGCTACAGTATAAGGTATTTGTTGATGAAGAGGGGTTTCTCCCCTTAAAAGTAAAGGCATATCTAATAAGGCAAAGTTGAGAAAATACATGGCATCACTGAAGTTGATGAGAATTAGGATCAAGATGAGGATCCTTGCAACATATGAGAACACATGA